AAAAAAAAAAGAAAAAAAAAATAAATTCTTTTATCAAATTATACGAATGAAAACCTAAATCTATAATTAGTCACGGTTGAACATCAGTAGTAATCGGGGAAAATTTCCAATTTCACTTATGTTGCTTATAAAATAAATTAAAAAAAGGAGAAAAAAAAAGACATACTTTTGTGCTTTGTTCAAATTATTTAAATTTTGGTTACCAAGTAGGAATTTACCCTCAGCGAGTCCGAGAAGAAGCCGAGTTTCTCATCGTTAGAGTTTGCTGTCGTTGGTTCTATTGAAGCGGTGTCAATCGTACTTTGCGGCAGTGGTGGATCGGTGATGGAGACGAGATCGCCCTCGCATTCCTCGATAAATATGATTGGATGCCGTTGCTTATTTAATTACTTTATTGCCTTTTCCCTTATTATTATTAGATTTCCTTATTATGTTATTTAGAATTAGGAAAATAATTATGTGGTTTTATCTTGTTTAGTAAGTTAGGTTTATGGGGAGTCTACGATATATATATTTGTATTCTCTTCAGTAGGAGGGGGATGAATAATTTTGAGATTAATCTGATATTGTGAGTTCTTTCACGAGAGAGCATCTCGTATCTTTCCCGTTCTTATTCACGTTCTACATCAGTTGGTATCAGCAGACCAGCAACGATCAACGATGCCGCCGAAGAAGAACACCGTAATCGACAACGCCATTGACGAACGTTTCCAACGGGTGGATGAACGTTTTGATGGAATTGACGATAAATTCACGGATATCTCATCGGGGATCGACGACTTGCGTGATGCGATGCGAACTTTGATGGTGGAGGTGCGTACGAACCGCGACGCCGGCGACCGGGGCGCGCGCGGAGGGCTTCGCGGTGGTCGTGGAGGACGTGGCTATGGCGGGGCGCCCCGTCGGCGGTCACCACCACCACCGCCCGGCGATGACGGTTCTGAGGAGACCCTAACCGTCGACAATCCGTTCGCTGATGGGCACCAGCAGCGCAGTGGGGCGGACGGCTTCAACGCGCAGGGCGGACACGGCGACAGAGGGTTTCTGGACGGCGGCTTCGGGCGCCGTGGGTCGGGTTTCTTTCGGGGCGGAGCAGGCCCTTACGGCGGCGAGTACTTGCGCCGCAATGGGCTGGACTTTGAGGGAGCCGAACACGAACGCCGCGATGGGCGGTTGACGGAGGACGACCAGCGTTGTCGTAACCGGCGGCGCGACGATGGGTTCGACGAGGACAACCCACGACATCGCGCGTGGGGTCCAGATGACGACGGCTTGGGATTCCACGGCGGCGGACAACAGCGCCACGGTGGGTGGTTTGATCAAGATTGGGTCGGGCTCGATGGTGCTGACCTATACCGTCGCGGCTGGGGCCAGGGACATGGCGGTGGACAGCGACAACAAGGAGTGGGCCGAGAAGACGCGGGCCAGGGGCTGTACAAGCCTTATCGTCGGGCGACAAACGGCGAGGGTGACCCGCGTTGGGAAATGGGGTTTCGGGTCGAGATTCCAGAGTTTTCGGGAGGAGCAGATGCAGCGGAGTTCCTCGACTGGTGGGCTGCAGTTGAGTCTGTCCTTCGGTTTAAGGAGGTCCCAGATGAAAGGCGGGTCGCGCTTGTAGCCACGCGATTCCGGGGACGAGCGGCGGCTTGGTGGATGCAACTCACGAGCTTGCGGCATCGCCAGGGGAAGCCAGAAATCTCCACTTGGATGCAGTTCCGTAAGTACGTAGAACGTGAATTTCTACCTTATAATTATGATCATATGGTTTATCAGCAGTTACATACTTTGCGGCAAGGACAACGTTCGGTTCGCGAGTATACTGAGGACTTTTATCGCCTCTTAACTCGTGTAGAGATACGTGAGACAAAGGGTCAGTTGGTTGCTCGATATGTGGGTGGTTTAAATTTTTCTATCCAAGATGTGCTTAATCTTGTTGTCCCGGAGTCTGTTTCGGATGCACATCAACGAGCTCTTGTTGTTGAGAAACAGTTGGCTCGGAAGACGGGCCCTTCCATGGGGTCTTCCTCTCGGCCAGATGCATCTATGAGTGCGGGTGTGCAGCCCGGACGTGGGCCACCTGACTCGAGCGTGTACCCGGGCTCGACACCGGCAATGGGGCGCGGCAATGCTACCAGTGGAGGGCACTCGGCAGCCGCGGGTGTGCAGCGGACTGGGGGCGGGATTCGATGCTTCGGGTGTGGCGAACCCGAGCATCGACAGGCAGCTTGTCCAAAAGGGACGGGGTCGCGTGCTTTGTTCGCCGAGGAAACAGCAGAATATTCGACAGCTGCAGCATATGATGGCCCTCCTATTTTTGACAAGGAGTCGGAGATTCCTGAGGTGCATGTCTCTGGAGACGTGGGACAAGCACTTGTTCTTCGTCGCTCTCTTTTGTCCCCGCCCGTCCATTCCACGGATGAGGGCCTACGTAGGTAGCTTTTCGAATCTACGTGCACTGTGGGCGACCGGGTATGTCGTTTTGTTATTGATTCTGGGTCATGTGAGAACGTGATATCTGCCGAGGCCGTGGCGAAGCTTGGACTGTCTACGGAGCACCATCCGGATCCTTATGCTCTCGCCTGGATTCGGCATGACAACATTATCCCTGTCACCAGGCGTGTGTTGGTGTCTTTCTCGATTGGTTCGGCATATAGGGATGAGGTGTGGTGCGATGTCGTGCCGATGGATGATTGGCACCTTTTATTAGGACGTCCGTGGCAATTTGATCGTGCCGTGGTGCATGATGGGCGTCTTAACACGTATGGATTTTTGTTTGAGGGCAACCGCGTTGTCTTACATCCCTCGGCCCGTCGTTCTGTTCCTTTACAGCAGACGTCGGCGGCATTGTTTCTTGCTCGAGATAAGCCGCGGGGAGACTTGTTTGGCGCAGTGCTCGGTAGTTCTGTGGTCTTCGACGTGGGCGACTTTGTGTGGGTTGCTTCTACTCCAGGCGATAGGCTCGGGCCCTATGAGGTTCTCGCACGGCTCCCGCAGGATTCTTACCGTCTTCGCCTTCCATCTCATAGGTGTTCTTCTGATATTTTTCATGTTGCCGAGTTGGCCCCTTTCACCAATAACGGCTCAGACGGAGACGAGAGACGAGATCTTCTTCTTCTTCTTCTTCTTCTTCTTCTTCTTCTCATACACCTTCTTCTTCTTCTTCTCATACACCTTCTTCTTCTTCTTCTCATACACCTTCTTCTTCTTCTTTGTTGGAAAAATCAGTTATAAAACTTGGGTTTGACCCGGTTTTGACTGAATTTTTTATGGCTAAATATTTAATTTAAGTTGAATTAAATATTGTAGAAAAATTCTACGTTCTGAGTAGATACTCGTGGTATATTTATTTTCTCAAAACTGATTTTCGGTGAGTGAGAAATAAATTGTTAAATGTAGCCATAAAAGGGCACGTAAAACGTTGGTTGTGGGAATTGAAGGGTCAAGAGTCACTCCCACATTGGACTCTTAAATGAGTTTAACTCTCTTTATTATAATAAAGAGAGTTGGAGAGGTTACAACAAGCACAAAGCTATGCACCAAGTGTTGGTGTTGTTTTCGGCCACACGCGCGCGGGCACGGGCACGGGACCCGGGACCTGAGACTTGGGCCTTGGGCTTTGGTCCTTGGTTCTTGGTTCTTGGCAATTGGACTTTGGGCTGGACTTGGGCGGCCTTGGGCGGTTGGGCTTGGAGCTTGGGCCCAATCAATATTTAGGCCCAAAATGATAAATCCAATTCTAGTTGAATTTGGACTCGGTTTTGACCCAACCCGAGTGAAACCTCTCCAGGTACAATGAACATGGACATGTGACTTTTCATGTGTAATGTGACTGTTCAGGTGGATGTTAATGGCTGGTTAATGGCCTTAACACCTGCTTAATGGTGTAGTAACACCTGGTTAATGGTGTAGCAACACCAGAAACGTTTTTGCCTCATAAACTCTGCCTTAAGTGGCAGATGTGACTTCTGGTTTCCCTCAAGGTGTGGGAGTCCTATAAATAGGACTTAGAGCTGCAGTGAAAAAAAAATACAATATTTTTCATGCAATCTGATACTCTCAAAGCCTCACGCATCATATCATAGTGCTCGGTTCTCGACTTCATTCTTGTTCGCCTGGACTCTGAAGGCTGGTGTGCTACAGCTTCCGAGTGTCAAAGCCGTTGTATCTTTGGGGGCATTACGCACTAACCCGTCAGCACTACACGGGGCGTATTTGTCTTGCGGATAGATTTCAATCGCCTCGCCTTAAATCTCTCCGCGTTCGAGTTGTAATTTTATTTTGTTTTAGCTCTTCTTGTACG